AAAATGTTGCCTGCTGTCTAAGTAGTTGATTGTTGACTAACCTCCTTCTCAGGGGAGAAAACTTTAGGCAAGTCTAAAATCCCTATACCATAATAAAGAATGTAAGATGTCCAAGAAGACCAGCAAGTAAAGACTAAGTGCGTGTAGCTTTGCTGTTTGTCTTCTGCTTGCTGTTTTTTGTTGTCTTTCCTTTCAAATCTGCAATATGGACAATCGATGAAAACAATTTTTTTCTCTAAAGCATCCTGCTCTCCAGAGGTTTACCTGGCTCTCTGCAGGTCAAAGATCTCTGTGGCCTTCAACTATTTGCAAAGTACAAGTACTGACTTCGCACAGCGTGTCACATCAAAATTGGTTTTACATCTCCAAGGAAGGTTTAGAATGTAATGTCAGGAAAGCAAAGGTGAAAGTGACAAGTTTTATGTCACATCTACTTCATTTTCTATCTGCCAGCCTGCCAGCCGGTTCCTTTAAAAAAGAAAAAGAGTGCATACGAAAACTGGTATTTTTCATCTGCCTTCTGATGCTGTGATAGAGCTTAGGATGAGCCCCAGTAGCAAGAATATGTAAATTGGGCAAGTGGTGTCACAAATTAACTTAATATATGAAAGCCATGCCATATTCACATTTTATTTCATGTGAAACAAATCTCAGCTTCCTCTTGCCTCTTGGCATTATATATGAGTAAGCCATTCATTAAGAAGAACTCAGATAACTTTCTAAATATAAAAATCAAACCAAGTGCAAACATTATTTTACTTTCTAACCCACTTCCAAAGAGTTCAATGTGGTGTGCATATGGTTAGGAACATTAGAAAGCTGCCTTATACCAAGTCAGACGGTTTGTCCATCTCAGTCAGTGTTGTGCACACCATGGATGGAGAACCTGTGGTCCTCCAGGTGTGGTTGGACTCCATCTTACATCATCTCTGACCATTGGCTTTGGTGATGGGAGCTGGAGTCCAGCAACATCTGGAGGACCATAGATTCCCTGTTCCTGGTCTACACTGAGTGGCAGTGGCTCTCCTGAGATTCAGGTGTGAGTCCTTCCCAGGCCAGCCTGGAGAAAGCTGGTATCGGAAGCAGCTCCCCAGATGGGGCAGAGCCACTACACTACCTTCTCAGCAGTGATCACTGTTTATAGATATTTATTAGCAATACATAAATTTAAGATGAATTTAATATTTTCAGAGGTGAACATTCTCTTGAACCATATTCTTATACACTATATGTATGGAAAGTGACAACGGGACAGCGAAAATGGATTCTACTTTCCCTAATGGCAGCTAAGAGACTGATGCTGATGAACTGGAAGAATAGAGATATGATTCCCCTTAATCAATGGCTTGACAATATGATAATATTAGCAACATATGAACGGACTGCCTATAGATGCAGACTTTCTTTGGATAAATATAATGATACCTGGAATGACTTTACACAGAATATATTAGGTCATTGATAAAGATATTTGTATTAGGATAAAAAGACTATACACATATTGTACTAATGTATGGAACTGTTGAGTATGGAATAATTGAGTATTTTTCTTTTATTGCTATTTTCAGCCATGTTTTTCTTTTTCTGTTTTATCACTCTTTTTTTATATAAATGAAATTCTTCTCATAAATGTTAATTTAAAAAAAACAAACCACTAGCTGCTCAGTAGGTGTGTCACCATTGCTTACATGGGAAGGAGCAAAGTGGCAGGGAGGCTGGTGCAGTGCAAATGCATTAGCATAAGAGCATACCCTCCAAAACCCCACTGATCAAAATAAAGATGCTCATTTTTGGGTCCTGAGCTCTTGTGGGAGTCAGCGGACTCGTGGCAGAGTTTGAGACCAAAAACGAGGCATCTTTTGCTCTGGTGCTCTGGTGCTCTGGCGCAAACTAGCTGATTCACAGCAGAGCATGAGACCAAAAAACTGAATGTCTTTTGGTCCAGCAGTCTAGGGCGAGCCAACTGACTCACGCCAGAGCACCAGACCAAATTAACAGGACATGATCCACGACGATAAGGACATGACACACAAAAAAGGCAGAGGCATATCTATTAGGAATTTTAGATAAAGATATCCCAAAAGATAAAACTAACTTATTTCTATACGCGACAACAGCAGCAAGAATTTTGATTGCTAGCTATTGGAAAGAAGACAGCATCCCAACAAACAGAGAATGGTTGGGGAAACTTTGCAAGTACCTGGAACTAGCAAAACTGGCAGATATAATAAGGTGAAAATCCAAAACCATGGTTATGAAGCAATGGGAGTTCTTAAATGATTATTTACAAACCAGGGCTCGACTATAAAAATCTGGTTGTGTTTAGAATAATCTTGTGCGTAATATAAAAAATACAAAGTGAGACATTAAGGAAATCCAAAGGGAAAATATGAAGAACAGAGGATCCGACGAACGGATTATTAAAAACGTGTGAGGTAAACGGTGGAAGTCTTTTTTTAAAAAAACACTTTTTAAGGTAGATAAGGACTAGATGAAATGATACACTTGAATATAAATATAGATGGGAAACGGCTATGTATAGTGAATACTTATCTACTTTTAAAAATTTTCACCTATGATCCTTTTCTTTTACTTCTTTGTTTTTTCTTTGTTCTTTTTTTCTTTTTTTCTGATATCTTATCTTTCATTTCACTCCTTTATTGTGAATAGCATTCTATAGAGGTATAAATAACTACAAATATGAAAAGAGGCAAAGTATTCTCTAATTTTTTTCCTTGGTTATATGTATTTTCTTTTTCCTTTGTATTTTCTTTTGTTGTAAATATGTATGTTTTCTAATTTGTACTTAATAAAAATTTATTAAAAAATTAAATAAAAAAAAACCAGGACATTCTGGGATCCAATCAGAAGCTGGGCTGGCTTCTGGAATTCCGGGATGTCCTGCTCAATTCAGGACGGATGAGTGGTATGGGAGAGTTGGAGTGGCTCTGCTGTTGCATATGCACCAAACTGACCTTCCCACGACCTCTCCCCTCCACCTCCCAGTAAGCAAGAGCATTTCATCCTGCCACAAAGCTAGCATAGCAAGCCACTTCTGGCAGGGACTGAGCCTGGGGCCTTTTCATGCAAGCATATACCCTATTAGTGAGATATAATGCTTCCCCTCCAAGAGTTCTGGGGTTACGGGCCTGGCTGCTTAGCTTTTGTAGCAGACCTTCAAAACATCCTTTGAAAGAGCTAAAAGTAAGTGTGGCAGAGGGGAGAAGAGGAATAAAAATATATCTTGAAAATACACATCCATATTTGATGACTACTCTCTGATAGCACAATTTATTTCATGTCTGTGCTTCTGGCAGAAGGCACACTTGCTACTTCACTGACTCAGAAGCCATTAAAGATACAGAGAACCAACGAGAGATTTCCATTCCAGCAACTAGCATATGGCATGACCACATGGGCACCGACATTTGCATAAGCACACAACATCCCATCCCTTTAGGGAAGGGGAAGGTAACATCTTCTTAAAAAGGAGCTTGATTAAGGTTAAGTTACAAATAGAGAATTTTATTTACAACCCAGAAGAAGAAGAAAAGATCTGGTACTATTTGGTATCACTTATTCGCTGAGACTAAGTTGATCTGAAAGTCTAAACCAAACCCCTGGTCTGCGTATTAGGCTCACAGAGCCCAAATAGTGAGTCATCTTTGTTGGTTTAAATGCAAATATCAATGGGACCTGATGCAGAGTGCACATTCTTGCATGGACATATCTGCCTGCAGCTTCACCTTTATATTGTGTTATATATATATTGTGTTTTTTGTCTGGTCTGGTATTTTTATGTTGTGAATCACTCTGAGATCTATGGATGAAGGGAAGAAGAAGAAGAAGAAGAAGAAGAAGAAGAAGAAGAAGAAGAAGAGGCTTTCAATCAGAACTGTAGCAACCATAATTTGGGACGGGGGTCAACTAAAAAAAATGGCAACATTTTGGGCTAAAACACCCAGGTTCAGTGAACTTCCTTAAAAGTGCATGATTTTTACTATTCCTTCCCCTGGCCCTCAATGCGACAGTGGAAGAGTAAGTACATGCATTAAGAGAGATTGAATCTCTCTCCCTTGAAATAGTATTTTCAGCTAACTGCTGCAAGTACATTTCTAGGCTTTTAGCTGAATATGTAGTTCACTCAACTTTGAATTCATTTTAGAAAGATGGTTGTTCCTCTTAAACAGAGAGGATATGACTACTTGGCAACAATCCACAGTACATATCCAGACTTAGACTCTGAATTTAATAATTATTATTCACTAGAAACGCAAGGGAAAATTTAAAATCACAAGAAAGGTAATTTCCTTTTGTTTTATGCTGTGTGCATGCTAGTGATGGAAGCCCAGCTGTGTAAATGCACATTCTTCAATACAGTCTTTGAGATCCCATTAGGGCAAACTCTAACACTTTCCAAATACCAGAACTTGTGTGACATAGGTGAGAAAATGGAAAAGAGAACCTCATACATTTCTGTATCTACACTAATGATGGAGAACTTTCACCCACATCCTCAACAGAAATGCACTAATTTATTATGTTTTGTTTCTGTATTCGCGAGGGCAGCCCCAGGCATGATTTGCTTGATGTTCTGCTTATATATTAAACTCCTGATTTTTAAATGTTTATTTATGAATCAAAACCTTTTACAGTGTTTGGGAGCTGAAGGTGAAAATACTACTCACTCGTGGCATAAGGAGGATGAATTGAACATTTGCAGCTTCTTAACACTTAACATGAAATGGTTCAAGGGTTGATGTGGAATCTTGCCTAAATGAGTGTCGCAAATATTAAATATTGCACAGTTTGAAGTGACTGGAAGCATAAGAACGGACTCCTTTGGAAATGAAACATTGTCCAGGCCCGTAGAGATATTATTCAAACTTTTACTGGCAGAACTTTCTTCAAAACGGAATTTTAAAATATTGATACAATATCTTGTGCTGTCCAGCATCTTACAAAGTATGAAATAGTCCAAACAGACCTATAAGCAAAGGTCTCTCTCTCTCTCTCTCTCTCTCTCTCTCTCTCTCTTTCTCTCTCTCTCTCCACAGCCTGCATTCCAGCCTCCAGGCTTTTTGCTCTCCCTTCAGGAGAGCCATTTCCTTGCAGTGTTCACCCTGGAGTGTTTAGAGAGACGGCTCTGTTTGCATTTTCACTCCAGTAAGTTTGGGGGGCAATTTTCCCCCCAAAGAACAACTCTTTTCAAAATGGAAATTGCAACCCAATACCTCTCACATAATCCATGTTTACAACCTTCACATGTTAGCAATCAGAAAACAACAGTCAGTTAGTTAATCGTTAACATAGCAAGAGCTCAGGGTCCTTTACAAAAACTCTTGTGGAAAAACACCAGTGTTAGCAATACTTTCCCCCCTTTTAAACCTTCATTAATACATAAACAGTTTTCATTTCTGTGTGAATTAGACTATTATACTTAACCATGGGATCTTGCCTAAACGCAAAAGCTCTCATGCTAGCTTTAAACTTCATGAGATGGTTAAAGGCTGCAGGTTTTTTAGAGCTGCAGTTGCCTTGTTTGTTTGATGTGAAGAAACCATGAGAAAACTGCAGAACAGGAAACCCTGTATCAGTATCAGTCAGAAGAGGAAAGGAAGCAATAAAGTACAAGCCTTCCCCATGCTTGAGGTTGGACTCATAGGAGACTCAGATCCTAATCATTCTGCAAGAAGAACAATGTGTGACCTACAGAGAAATCCAAACTATAGGAAACCAGCAGAAGTTACCCGTATTCCAAAATCAGCTTGGCCACATGACCTAGAAATCTAACATAAGTTACACTGGCAAAAGGGGTGGTGTACTGAGTCAAACTCTATTTTAAAGGCTTGCTTCTCCTCTACCAGGCTTGGGCCAGCTCCTCCAGAGTTTAGAACAGGGGTGAATCACACTGCTGTAATTTATGCTGGCATAGTTTATGCTGGTTTCCTACATAAACTACACCCTTTCCGTTAACCTGAACTGAGGAACGGTGGTCCAATAACTTCCCATTCACTTTTTTTTGGGGGGGGGGAGAAAAAGAAATAATAATAACATACATTACTGAGAAAATTGCCACACTCCCTGTATTTGCTCATTGGGACTGCCTTTAACATAGAATAAAATCAAAGTAACGCTATCGACTGATAAACACTGATAATTAGGAGACGCAGAGGAGTTTCGTTTCATTTGGTTTCTACAATATCTGGCATGATCTGACACTTCCATATTATGCTGCTGCACTGTGCTGGAATGTGTGTTCTTACTGTCAATGAAACTTCTTAAAACACACACACACACACGGAGAGAAAACATATGGTACATTGTGCAGTGACTTGAAGGCAGCTGAAGGTTTTCTAGCATTTGACCTCTTTCAGCTTTTCCCTCCAGATTTTTATAAGGAGAGCTACCAAGATAAGTGGGCTTTCAGTTCCTATCTCAATGGGTTCACTTCTAGATTCAGCCTTCAGGCTGTCTCAGCGCTGAGCTGTCATGGTCTGATTGACGATTCCTGATCTTCACTGTAAGACCCTCTTTCCGTCTCACTTGTACGCTCTTCTCCGCTTTCTTGTGAACACTTTGTCTTTAATCTCTGCTTACAAGTGTAGCTTTGTGCTCCTTTTGATTTGATAGACTACCGAAGGGTTTTTTAAAGGCTCTTGTTTGCAGCAAACAAAAGAGACAGGCTTCAGAATTAGTCTTTCTCTCTCTCTCTCTCTCTCTCTCTCTCTCTCTCTCTCTCCCTCCGTCCCGCAACCTCCCAGCTCTCCTAGCACATCCAAATTCTTCACTTATGGCCCAAACTTTTCATGTGCGTGGGAATAACCTAATCACTAATGCTTGAGATATGGAAGAGGTAGTGGTGTATTTTTAGATCTTGTAGCTGGGTGGATGGAATCACTGTACATGGCTGATGGTTGCCATGGAAGCCTCAAAGGAAGATGCTATAGAGGCCAAAATATGATGAAAGTCCTCTGCACCTCAACAAAGTGGCCTCAGCAAGGACAGTGATTCCCTCCTTGGCAGGTGTGACTCAATATTGTCATGGCAACTGCCAGCCCAATGCAGATGACAGATCATATGCAAGCCCTGTGATATTGCACAAGTGTAGTAGCTAGCACTCTGGTAACTTGTTGGATAGATCTCTAATATATCCTTGCCACGGCAGATCATTAACATTGTCCACAGTTCACCCAAGATAACATGATGCTTATTTTTAAAAATCTGTAATGCTGGAGTGATGGTCAAAGAGAGCTTTGTTCTCTGTCACCTTCGTATCCTCTTTTTTATATATAAAAAAATTATTCATTTTTCTTCTTCATTCATTACATACATCTCAGATTCTTAACATTTATTATGTATTCCTTCCTCCCTCCCCTCCTAGGCTTCCCCCAACTTCCGCTTCTGGTTTGTTTCTCCTTTCACCCACTTTGCTACCTCCTAGCAGAAAAAGTTATTAATAACATAACACCAAACCTAAAAACATAAAAGTAAAATTAAATACACCATAATATTTCTCTATCTTCTAAACATTTTCTAATACTAATAGTGTGAATGTTTATTTAAATCCTGCCATCAAGTCTATCGACTTTCTTTGTTTCTGCAAGTATTATATAAACGGTTCCCATTCTTTTTCAAAGTCGCTGTTGTCTTTTTCTCTTAGTCTGTCTGTCATTTTTGCCAGTTATGCATAGTTCATCAACTTCTCTTGCCATTATTCTTTAGTTGGTATTAATGATGCAAGAAAAAGATTTTTGGTACCTATAATGACAGGGTCCCCTGGCCAGAACCCCCTTGATATGATGTTATATCTCGTTGCAGACACAGATAAGTATGTGACCTGGCGCGTAGCACTTTTTGCAACTGCTGCTAGGAAAATTAGAGCAAATTATATAGCCAAGGTAGCCATTACCTGTAAAGGAGATGAATTTATTTGATCCTATCTATCTACCTCAGGCTATGCTCTATCTTTGTCACCAAACTCTGAGTATAAATTGCACACTGTATTAATTGATATTGTTTTTAACATTAGTGACCATGTGATGATTTTAGCTTATGAATTTTATTGTTTAATGTTTTTATTTGTACATTGGGGTACTTTTATAGCTTTGTTTAGAGTATGTAATGTTATAATAATATAAATGTTTTAAGTCTTTTTTTACCAATTCAGTATATTTTCTTTTAATTGTCAAATAATTCTGTGTACATTGCGGCAGCCTTTGGCTATGTGCAATAAAACTGACTGAGACTGAGACTTTAGTTGGTATTTCTCCAGTCTTCCAGTTTTGTGCAATCAACATTCTTGCTGCTGTAGTAGCATACATAAATAAAGTCCTCTTTTCTTTTGGTATGTCTTGGCCAAAAATACCTAGTAAGAAAGCTTCTGGGTTTTTTTTACAAAAGTTATTTTCAATATTTTCTTCAGTTCATTATATATCATTTCCCAATAGGCTTTTACCTTTTTACAATCCCACCACATATCCTCTTGAGTTCCTTTTATCAGGGTGGCTTTACAATCTAGTCCTTCTGAAAAGACAGATATGGATCACTGTGGTTAGAAAATTTCTGTGTTATTTATTGGGATGAGGTACCTCCATCCCTTGAGCTAGTGCCCAGTTCTCCTGCTTCAAGGGCCCAGAAACCTATCTTGAGGCAATGGCAGGTGGTCCTTCGACTGCCATGGAGCATCTTTTTCCAGGACTAGCAAGGTTTCCACAAACCATTTGCCCCAATGAGAAGGCCACCAGAGAGCTTTCTGTTTGGTGGAAATGATGTGCAGGGCATCATTTGGCCCCTGAAGATTCTGAAACTGGTGACCCCATCCCCAGTGGGGGGGGGGAGTTGCCCAGTAGATTAAGGAGGGCCCTCACCATTTCTTTTAATAATAATAATAATAATAATAATAATAATAATAATTTATTTATTATTTATACCCCACCCATCTGGCTGGGTTTCCCCAGCCACTCTGGGTGGCTTCCAACAGAATATTGAAAAACAATAGTCTATTAAACATTAAAAGCTTCCCTAAACAGGACTGCCTTCAGATGTCTTCTAAAAGTCTGGTAGTTGTTGTTCTCTTTGACATCTGGTGGGAGGTTGTTCCACAGGGCGGGTGACACTACCGAGAAGGCCCTCTGCCTGGTTCCCTGTAACTTGGCTTCTCACAGCGAGGGAACCGCCAGAAGGCCCTAGGAGCTGGATGATGGGGGTGGAGACGCTCTTTCACCTGCCCCGAGGTGGGTTTCTGGGCCCTTGATAAAGAGGAAAGTAGCAGCATCTGTAGGCACTGCCAGCACTTAAGATGTTCCAAATTTCAAGCCATTTAAAATGCACCTTCATTCTTCCTATGCAGCACTGTGGATTGTCCCAGCCTTATTCTTTGTATGGAGCTTTTAAGCCATTCTCTCCAGCAAAGACTGCTGTTGCTGCTGCAGCAGCAAAACAGAGCATTGGACCAAGCTGTTCATATACAGAACAAGTGAATATCAGCCACAACCCCATTTATAAAAGTGTAGTATCATTAATGTGTAATCTCGAGCATCTTATTTATCCTAATTACATTTAATCTATTCATTAATGTGCTCATCCCTCCAGACATAGCAATTATTTAAATGTGTTCTCTCTCGCTCCAAGATTTTAGCCAAATTTAAAATGCTAGGCAGCAGCCGGAACAGAAGGTGAAGCCCATTATCCTGACTATACTCCACATCTTGAAGCAAATGGATTTTACCCTCCCTGTTATATAACCAAGATAGTCTCCTACTTGCCCATGTGTTTCCAGCCTCAAAAGCCTAATAGAAGATAATTTATGTGACATTTCCTGTTAATTTGAAGTAGCTGTCTTACATATATCACTAGACAAAAAGGAGGACTCCTCTCTCCTCCAGCCCCCAATTAGTCACCATGCCATTGAATTAAAAGCAAGGCTATGTTTTCATTCATCTTTCAAACATTACATTAAAAGATAAGCACATTCAAATGCTTAGCCTATTTTAAAAACATAAAAATCTGAGGTTGGCTTCTTTGACAAATTACTTGGGCGCAGGACAAATACCCAGCTTGAAGTGTGATTCTTCTTGAAATAACGTAGCTCACGTAATTACAATATTTGAAATGCATGTTCCACAGAGAACAGAGCCCACCTAGCTTATGATTACAATGTGGCTCGCATAAGCTTAGGAACGATGGAGAAATTTGATTCCGTTAGGTTAACCTTTCTTTCCAACCTGATTTGCACTTTGCAAAACACTGTGCGAACCAAAAGGCAGCCGTCCTTTGAAATTCTCACTCCTCCCAGTTGTGCAATGCAGTGCTCCAGCCAAGTCATGTCTACAAAAATACATAATATGTGAGTGAAAATAACAGACAAAATGCATCATATTAGGGAAAACAGAAAAATAGGAGACAATATACAAAAATGTATACTGCAGAAATGGCTTACACAAGTGTGTATATTATGAGACACTGATATTAAAATGCAAATATTTAATAATTTTTTTAAAGATGCAAATGAATTCTCATAAGGACTGTCTTCTTTTTTTAAAAAAAGAAATGCAAACTAATGTGGAAACCTAGAGAACTGAAAAGACTGAAAACACAGAAGTTGAGAGAAACTGCAACGGACAGATTGTCAGGGAGTTGTCAACGAGACAGGTAATCCACAGGGCAGGCACACACATGGAAGGCAATTAGCTTTTTATTAGCAGAAAAACAACAAGACAGCAAAGTCTCTGGTTCATCTTAACTCAACGATGGCATTGCTGAAACTGAGCTCTAGGCATGTCCCTCCCCTCTAGCTTCGCACTCTGGTATCCCTCCCAAGCAGACCAAGGCTGCGTCAATGAGGTGGCCTCCTTTGGGCCTGTCTCCTCTGGTGTTGTTGCTCCACAATGTGCAGGACCCTCTTCAAGTGGGAGTCAGAGGGGCAGAAGAGTCAGCAGGAGTGGGACTGTCTCTGTACATGCTGTGACTCTCAGCTTCTAATCCTGTCCAGAAACGCCCTCCTTCTCCTGGCCCCCCTCTTGATCACTCAAGTCTCCTGCTTCTATTAGCTCCCAGCTCATCCCCTTCCACTGACTGTTCCTCAGTTTGCACTACCAGGCTCCAGGCTCTAAGGTGCCAACTTTGGAAGAAGAAGAAGAAGAAGAAGAAGAAGAAGAAGAAGAAGAAGAAGAGGAGGAGGAGGAGGAGGAGGAGGACTTTGGATTTGATATCCAGCCTTATCACTACCCGAAGTAGTCTCAAAGCAGCTAACATTCTCCTTTCCCTTCCTCCCCCACAACAAACACTCTGTGAGGTGAGTGGGGCTGAGAGACTTCAAAGAAGTGTGACTAGCCCAAGGTCACCCAGCAGCTGCAGGTGGAGGAACGGAGACGTGAACCCGGTTCCCCAGATTACGAGTCTACCGCTCTTAACCACTACACCACACTGGCTCCCTGCTTGGGGAGCAGGTTCCTGTGGGAATGTTGTGGATAGTAGGAGGGGATATACTGATTAAATATTATTCTTCCGCACTCACGCTAGTGAGTGTGGCGTTCGTACGGAGCTCCAGGTCGTTTCACGGACTATTGACCCATACACCGCTAATCCGCTGCCACCAACCAGGTTCTCCCCGGTAAAACACTTAGTCGGGTTCTCAAGTTAACAACGAAGATTGTAGTTTATTGCAAACACAAATAAACTTTAAATGCATTCGAAACGCTGTCACCCTTTACCCTCTTAGTCCTATTTTATCCTGTCTCTAACTCTTCTACCTCCCCTCACAAAAGAACCAACTGCACTAACTGTTTCTATTTCCAACTGTCTTCCAACTTCTCCCCCCCCCAACTGTCTAAACCTCTGGCTAAGCCTTTTAAAAACAGGTAGGCTCCGCCTCTGGGCTTTTCTATTGGTCTACCTATTAACCCTCTCTCTCCCCTTGTACAGACACTTCCAAAAGAACGGGCAAATACCATAGTGAGTCATGTAGCAGAGCACATTCCCCTCAATCCCAGCTGGAAGCTAGTTTGCAGATTCATTTGAATCTCTTTAGTTAAGCAATCTAGTCTGCCATGCCCAGAATGGGTTTATTCCTGGTAAGTCCCCTTTGATCCCTCTCAGAAAGAATAAAGACACAACAGTCTTTCCTTCAAAGTAACAAGAAGTTTGCTTACATTCAGTTCACAGTATGATCCCTGAAGGCAGGCTTTAGGTTGTAGTTACAATTACAGAGATAGGTGGGATTTACCCCATGTGCTGCAGTCCCAGAGAAGAAAATGGAAGAAGAATGGAAGATGGCTGTGTGACCAGCCCTTTTATGGGGTCTTCCAGGGTCATGCCCATCTACCTGGTCCCATGCATGAGGAGGATGCTCCAGACCAGGTGTACCAGGAAGTTACACTGGCTGGAGTAACATCTCCCTGTCTGTGTCCACTCTAGGGAAACAAGGAAAGTTGTATTTGACTGCTCCAATGGATTACATCCCACAGCTCCCACCACTCGTCTTCATCCAGCTGGTCCCCGACACAGATTCACCCTTCCCTACAGAAGCTGCCATTCTAATATCATAGAGATCAAAATGCTGTCTTCCTAGCAGTGACCTACTGCTTTCCAGAAGGGATCAACTGTGCCTTGGTCACAAATGTGTGTTCCTTATCTATGTCTGCAGCATCTGATGGAACCCTTACCAGTGGAAGAATTCAAGGGGACAAGTCAAATAGGAGACTCAGTTTCCTTCAACTGCATCAAAGCTAAACTAGCCTTTCGAAATTCAATCCTTTTAAAACTAAAGCTTTTGGAACTCAGGCTGGGGCTGTTGCAAGCAGAAGCAATCAATCAGGCACGTTAGGTAGGAAATCCCCCCTGTCCATAACAACACCATTGAGGTCTCCACCTAATTCACACAGCTGTGAATCATGGAGTATAAATGTAAGCAAGTGATGTATATGCCATTTCCTGTCATAGCGTTGGAAATACACTCTACCTAGGGTCCTGTTCTGTGGCTAGAGGTATCTGGATCTCATCTTACCCCCATATTTTGATGAAATGCTTTCCTCATCTTTGGCAAGGCTTTCATAGGATTGCAAGAAACTGACAGAGCACACCCTATTATTCCTGCTGACATTACAGCTAAAACACTTTGCCTCCGGGTAGATCTAATCTCCACACTTTTCAATGCACCGCTCAATATAAAATGGTGATTAGAGGATAAATGTCTGCGGAGGACCAAGACCAATTACAAACAGCCACTGTTTGCAGAGGACACTGCAACATGGGATTCTCTGACAGGAGTCTAAATAGCTTCTGGAGGGTCCATCGTGGACATTTGTGCACACTACATGAAAAAACACATCTGAGAACATTTTTGCAAATGATATATATATATAAAATTCATGAAAAGGGGCCTTATATGTATATGTATGGATTCTCCTCCCCACCACCACCAAGTAGGTTGGTCCCACTTAGGGTAGCTAGTAGCAAAGGAGGAGATGAATTCTGCACTTTTAATAGCTGTATACAATAAGGAATTTCAGCAAGTGTAGCTTGTCATTGCATCTGACTTCTCTGTTCTCTGAAAGCACTTGGAAAGTTCTAAGAAAAGAAAAGAACTAGTTCTAGTTCATGACTATTCTGGTAAAAAAAAGAATCCAGCTCAAGTCCTTTTACAAAAGGAACTAGTTTAGTTCATACTCATAAATATTTGATCCTTGAGGGAAATTATAATAATTCAGAATGCTATGAGCTGTTGTGTTGAAGTATAGGGTTCAAAAGAAAATCAGGAGCCACACATAAGTAATAAGATGTCTGACAGACAGAACATCAAGAGGCAAAACTTTCCCCATAATTGTATTTCCAAATGAGAAAATATTTAGCCTGTTTAATTTGTGACAGGCACAAAGCACAATTTGTTAAAGGCACAAGGCTTCAATCACTTTGTTCCACAACTTGTACTTCTTGCTGCAAGCTGCTCCTGTTGGATGGGAGGGCATCTCTTCATCAGGGAAAATACAGGAAATGTCTCACATTCCTTCTTCTGATTGCTTGGCAATAGCTATTAAGTGACTAAATGTCTCTAGCAACAGCAGTGCCTCTGTATCTGCCTAATTGTCCTTGGAACATTGCCTCCACTTTTTGCTTTCTAACTTGTGTTACCTTAAGCTACTTCTGACTCTGCTAGCTATTCACATGGATCAAGTGTACATTGCATACCAATCCAAACCACAAAATGAATAAATAAATCCAGATGTTGCATCCAATGATGCATTGGACTGTATGCTCATAACAGGAATCTGTAGTCGTCCTCCACATTTTGTTACACTACAACTCCAATCACCCCTGATTGTCTGTTGTGTTTGCTTTGGCTGATGTTAGTTGGAGTCCAATAATATCTGGTGTGCCACAGAACCCCTGCTTCTGGATGTAGGTTCCAACCAAATGCTACAACCCTACATGAACAGTTGCCACCATCAGAGGCAGGGGAAATGTGCTTGATTCTTGACAAAGTATCATCTGATCTGACCTGGTGAAGAAGAACTACAGGTTTGCCACCACTTAACCTCCTGTTTATGTTTTGAAGCCAAAGGATACTGAGTCCAAAGCGATAATGTGAAAGAAATTGCTGAAAGTCAAAAGGACTGAGACAATGACCTGATTGCACCTTTTAAAAACACTTTCCTTAAAAGCATACTTTTTATGCCTTTTGTTCAGGAGGTACATTTTCTAAAGCCTTATCGGATCTGGGGTGCTCTCTCAAGTATGTTATCATCTCTAGAATTTGGTAGCCTGCAGTGTAAATGTATGGGAAATGGTTCGTTTCCTGCAGAGAGTTGCATTTTTGTCAATAAAAATAAAAATGGAATATTACCAGGAAACTAGCAAAAGGTTGCAAATGTTAAGGCAACTGGCCAGCTCTAAGCCTTTTATGTGTTTAGCAAAGGCCCATTAACTACAATTTATGGCGTTGACCAGAATAAAAAATGTCAGTCATTAGTTGACTGGTAGAATTTTACTTTTTTTCCAGAGAGCTTGTTAATCTTATTGTACATGTGAAGAAAGCACTGCCAGGGAACTTGTGGGAGTTAGGAGGGGGAATCAATATTTCAGCACAACAGCTCATATTGTTTGCTCCATTCCTGTAGGGAATATGTCCGCTCTCTTCTCAGAAAGCTGTTCTTAAATCCGGTTGGTATACAATATTGCCACAGCTATGGAGGCCTTCATTTTGTTGATTTTATAAGCACAAAACATCTCTAAGTTAAGATTTATTATTTTAAGAACATGAGAACTGCCTTATATGGAGTCAGACCATGGGTTCATCTAGCAGTATTACCCAAATTTGGGTCTTCATCCAGCTGCTTTTGGACTACAATTTCCATCATCCCTAACTACTGGTCTTGCTAGCTAGGGATGATGGGAGTTGTGGTCCAGAGGCAGCTAGAGACCCAAGTTTGGGAAACACTGACCAGCTCAAGATTGTCTACACCAGGCTTTCTCAACCTTGGGTCCCCAGATGTTCTTGAACTGCAACTCCCATCATCCCTATAAGCATCATCTTCATCATAATTTTATTATTTATACAGTGGTACCTCGGGTTAAGAACTTAATTCGTTCCAGAGGTCCGTTCTTAACCTAAAACTGTTCTTAACCCGAAGCACCACTTTAGCTAATGGGGCCTCCCACCACTGCTGCACGATTTCCGTTCTCATCCTGAAGCAAAGCTCTTAAACCAAGGTAATATTTCTGGGTTAGCGGAGTCTGTAACCTGAAGTGTCTGTAACCTGAAACGTCTGTAACCCAAGATACCACTGTACCCTGCCCATGTGCTGGGTTTCCCCAGCCACTCTGGGAGGCTTACAGCCCGTAAATAAATTGGCACTATGGGTTAAACCACAGAGCCTAGGACTTGCCTGTCAGAAGGTCGGCGGTTCGAATCCCCACGATGGGGTGAGCTCCCGTTGCTCGGTCCCTGCTCCTGCCAACCTAGCAGTTCGAAAGCACGTCAAAGTGCAAGTAGATAAATAGGTACCACTCCAGCGGGAAGGTAAACAGCGTTTCCGTGCGCTGCTCTGGTTCGCCAGAAGCAGCTTAGTCATGCTGGCCACATGACCCGGAAGCTGTACGCTGGCTCCCTCGGCCAATAAAGCGAGATGAGCACCGCAACCCCAGAGTCATCCGCGACTGGACCTAATGGTCAGGGGTCCCTTTACCTTTATGCTGGCAAGGAATGATGGGAGTTGTAGTCCAACAACATCTAGGAACCCAAGGTGGAGAAAGGATGGTCTTCACTGAGTGCCAGTGGCTCTTCCACCTTTCAGATTGGGGACATCTCTCAGCCCTACTTAGAGATGCCAGGGATTGGACCTGGGATCTCTTTTATGCAAAAGCTGATGTTCTACCACTGACCTCTGACCCTTCCGCCAGAATATATGTGTGTCATTGCCCCATAGATAAGCTTTGCAACTGTGGAATTCCTATTAATTTTAATCAAAAGTGAAGGAATCATTGTGCTTTTGTGGTGCTTCACCAGGATCCCAAGTATACCTTAGGCTCTGAATCTACAGCCTCTGAGAACCGCTGTAGTATTTTACCTGGAATACAAGGAAACAGCCTTTTGCCAGAAATATTTACAGTACAACAAAACAGCACGAAATGGGTTTAATATTTCTGGGTGCAGTTTTAAAGGCCTCTGGGTATGTGCAAGGAGCTAAAAGATTGTAGGTAGTAAAAACAGAAATGATAGCATAAAGGATTCATGGTACAGACAACGCAAATCACATGAATCCAACCATAAGCCTGTCTAAAAACATAGGCTTTGAACAATTTCCTGAATGATAGCAAAACAGGACTTTGGGGAAGACGATCAATTCCAGAAAGATGAATTGGGAGTTTCTGGCTATATGAAAACAAAATTTGGGGACAATTAGCAACAGTGCTCAGTCTGATTTTGTGTATTCTAAGGTGCTGAGCTGCAATCATATGACTGCATTTATTTTATTTTATTATGAGTAGCCAATCAAAAGCTATACATGGTAATCTTCAGAAAGAAGTATTCTGGGTTTTGCGGGTTGCTAGCAGACAGGACATCTTAAAGATACTAACAAACTGATGGAGTAATGCAACAAGATGTCTGCCCTTAGCTGCACCCAAAAGTTGTATTTGAAGAAAACCATAGGAGATTTGCAATGGTAGAATTCATGGCAAAGCAAACATATTATTGGCAGCATGAACACCTGTGAGGCAGTTGTTTAAATAACGATTAATAAACCAACTGGGAGGAGAAATATCAATGTAGGGAAAATGTTATTTCCTAAATAATATTTAGCTATAGAACATGCACACATTGTGCATTAGAATGCCTGAATGCCTTCTCCAATGCTGCTGAGTTCAAAATATATCCTGATTTTCCAAACATCAGAAAACTTGTCAGGAAGATGGTCAGACATGGACTAGAGAACATGTCTGTGCCCTCCACATGGTGCTGAAGTTGGCAAAGAGGTCCTGTTTTTCTGTTTCCATTACATCCTCAAGAAGAAGAAGAAGAAGAGTTTGGATTTGATATCCCGCTTTATCACTACCCGAAGGAGTCTCAAAGCGGCTAACATTCTCCTTTCCCTTCCTCCCCCACAACAAACACTCTGTGAGGTGAGTGAGGCTGAGAGACTTCACAGAAGTGTGACTAGCCCAAGGTCACCCAGCAGCTGCATGTGGAGGACCGGGGACACGAACCCGGTTCCCCAGATTACGAGTCTACTGCTCTTAACCACTACACCACATCCAGCAAAGATACTCTGAGTGGCAATGAACCTATTGTCATTGGCCATGGCCAATGAGAGTCTAGAACACTCTGATGCCAGCTGTGACAAGCTTACCAGGCACATTCGGGATAAATGTGCTCATCTCCCAGCTGAATTGCATACTGACGTCCAAATGCTGAGTCAAATAAATAATCACACAACGCACTCCAGTGCACTTTGAAGTTGTCCTATCAACTCCAATGCAACTTGAACGAAGCCATAGCGACCATGAGATGATATTACTGGATGACGGGAAAAGGTAAATGTTTATAAAAGGAGGCTTAACACCGACTGCATTTTGTATGTGCTTAAGTGGTTAATTATATATTTGTGCACTAAGAGAGGAGATTGTGATTTCATCGAGCCGATTATCATAACGATAATCAAGGAACTTCTTTCATAGGGCCTCTCAAGCTTCAAGTTCTGTGAACAGAAAAAAAAAGGTTAATATGCCAAAGCCAAAACTGGGTTCATTCAAACTGATGTTGAGAAGGAAGCAGAGAATTCAGATCAATGTGTTAAAAATGCAACTGGCAATACAAGCCTTGCACATCAGCTTTCTACAACTGGTAACTTTTTACAGTTCTGATTTACCACATGTGCACACCTTTCTTTCACTGCCTCCTAGTATACAAGATACAATTATTTAACAATCTTTCATTTGTTTCCTTTTGGACAAACGGCCTCAGGTAGGATACTGGAGCAATAATTATCTTCTCACCAGCGCCATATGCTGTGCTCCTAACATCCCAGGATTCAATGAATCTAAAAACAGAGAGCTTCAAGTTTCCTGTGGAGAATTTCATTATCAATAGCATGTGGTGGACCAAATGAAGGACACTTTCCAAAACAAAGGGTCAAAATGCAAAATAACAAATGCAAAATATGGTACACTTTTTAATATAAGAAACTTTTAAGGGCATATATCATGAGTTGATAAGCATTCAGTTCTTGCTGGGACCCCAATCTTATCAGTCCAGTCAGGTTCAAGATTCACCATATTCTCTGTTGGGATGAAATATATCCCAACTTTTTAGAAAGAAATGTTCCCATCCTTCTTGGAGAGGGGGAGAAATCTCCAACAAAGGAAACTAAGAATTATTAGGAAATAGAACTTGTGGTCCCCAGCTCAATTCATATGAGGCATCTGTGAGCCAGTCTAATGCAGGGCATAGAGTGGTAGACTTCGACTGGGTAAATATAGCTTCAAGGCTGTACCCTCTGACACAACCTTTCATCTTTACAAACCAGACTTTTGCAGTTAGGAAAGTGACAAGGAAATGCACTAACAAGTGTGGGATAACAACTGATTAACAGGAAGACAAAGGAATCAGGATGAAATCCAGATGGATGGTCATTGTTGTATAGCCTCCCCACAAATGAATCAGCACAAGCACCCAAGAAGAGCAGACCTCATCTAATCCCCACAGAAACTTTGGGCATGCAAACTACAATGAATACTCAATAAAGTATTTGGAGAAGCTCCAAATCCCCACTAAGCTGTGAAGCTCTTAGTAGAGGATCTGGGACCAGTCACCATCTCCATGTCCTATCTCTTCCCAGACCAAAGTCCCAGTGGAGGTCAGGTTGAAGCCAGAACACTCACTATTAGAACAGAGATCTCACATCCCAAAGAGCAGAAACAGGGCAGGGAAAGTCCGGTCAAGTCTAATGGTAATGTCAAATCTAGAAATTTAGTCCAGATAGGTGAGGCACAAGACAACAGGTTAGGATGCTGAAGAGCTTCCCTGTACCCCTCTAGACATCTCTCAGGGAGACCTGTTGCCTCAGCAGCATGCAGAGAAAGCTGGCCAGACAAATGCCTCCTATTAGCCAACTCCAAACACCTCCTATTAGACCCACTCTGAGGAGATGTCTACAAATGAGCCCTGGTTGAGCCAGGATGGAAGACTTATGCTGGCATATCTCTGGCTGAGCCAGGATGAAGGATCTTAGCCAGCATAGTCCTGGCTGAGCCCGGGCTCAGCCAGA